GCCGGGGTCGGCTGGCCGACCGTTTGTCCGCAAGAAATGAGACATTAAGAAAAATCTGCAGCCTGACCCCCCCTCCAGAAAAATTCCTGGATCCGCCCCTGTATTTACATTCAAACATGTATTCCCTGCAGTCACTACAATGCGGAACGAGTTCAGATAGAGCATACAAGGACAGATATCACTTTGTCTTCTGTGGTGCAATGCCCCCCTCCAAAAAAAAACACACAGCAAGTACAGAAACAGGTCAACACGGTCTGGTCTTTCCATATTACAGCAGGCTCATCTCTTGAATCTTGCAGGAGTTTTCGGACGATATGCACAAAATGGCTCGAGGGTTTTCGGGATAAAAATGTCTTTGACAACCACTGAAAGGTGCGTGAAGAGCGCATTCGATGGCGTTCCCCTGGGCTAGGAATGGCCAATTTGATAACCGACATAAAAACCTGGAAATCTAAACGTCAGGAAATTTGAAAGGTTATACTGAATGCCTCCTGTCAGGCTTTGTATTTGACATCGAAACAGTTGGCTCATAATTTTTGAACAAATGAAAATACATCCCTTTTGACCAATATCATACAGTTTGACTTTGCTCTAACAAAACATGGGCTTGTTATCAAACTCAAAATGTCAACGTCTGGCAGTCAAAAAAAGACAAAGTGAAAGACGAAGCCTATGCTATCCTAGTACCGACCTGAGATTCACCGGGTTTGAGCGTCATGGCTGGGGGCTCCATCAGGAAGGTGGTGGCGTTGCTGTCGTGCTGGAAGCAGAAGGTGACGTCCGCCTCCAGCGGGGAGGAGTTGTGGATGGTTAGTTTCTCCTGGTTCTCCGGGTAGCGGCCGTCCTTGTAGCGGTCCCGGGACTTGCCGGCCAGCAGCGGGCCCATCTGAAGTGTCTCCGAGCTCAGCACGAACTTTTTGTGGATGATCTCGTCCGCGCGCTTGCTCTTTTTGCGGTGAGGGAAAACAACCCTTCAATAAAAAAAATCCCCAAAGAGAAACAAAATATGAATTTGTAGTTTTGACTTGACCATCAATCCATGCAATGATATACGCTAATCTTTCAATGACGACAGCATGAACATGTTCCATTCAACTCTGTTCTCACAAGATGACGTGAATTCCAAAACTCTGACATCAACTTTGACACAAACCATGTTTCATCTAACAACGTTATTATGGGTGCACTATAAATGTTTGACATAAAAACATTCCACACAAAGTTTCAAACTATAAAGGAGATTTTTTTTATCATCAAAATAAGCGTTTCTACTTTCACAATTTCATTTGGTTGACATTAAACATTCAGCCTCTATATGGTCATACTGTGAGAGTAAAGTTTCACGATCAAGTAACAACGAAGAAAGCCATAGTTTCAGAAAAGAGAACACATACAGAAAATCAGAGTTCACAAAACAGAAATGATATCCACTTCAATCGATATATCATTATCTCGCCTCAAAAGCGTTTCTGGCAGTTTGAGGGGTCAAAGTCCACCACAAGTACTTGTAAGTCCATCACAAGCCAAGTCACCGGCTTTTCAAATGAACTGAGACATAAGCATTCCTTTGTCACTGTCCGCTCTGTTATACTCGAGGTCGATATTGAGGAAAAAACTTGTGACTCGACTACAACACTGGTTTTCACTGAACTGAACTCCTCCTTGAAGACCTACCTCGGTTCTCTGCTGATGTTCGGGAAGCTGCAGACGCCGCGGCAGTAGAGCTGGTAGCGTCGGCGAGTGCCCACGATCTCAAAATTCAGCGTCTGGTCAAACTGGCCCAGCTCGTCCGACTGGAAGCGCAGTCGCAGGACGATCTCCGACTCGGCTCCGACGGTCCAGCGGAAAATACCAAGCCTTGGAGAGTACAAAAATTAAATGGAAGTCACTGGCAGCCAATGCCACACATCAATGCTCCTGACTTCAACAAACTGAAATGCGTCCATCTCAAGTCGTGTGCCCAGGCACGTATCTCAATGACGGAAAATTTGTTTTGTTTGGAAATTCGGTACAAAGGAGCAAAAATCTGTCCCCGTAACAGTTTTGATTCCCACGACATACATCAAATGTCCTGATTATTTTCTCTATTTGAGCTGACGATAATCATGCACTATCTCCAAATCAATCCAATGGATAGATCTTCAAGTATATTTGTGCTGTTAATAATTTTTGGAGTCAGAAGTGTTCGCCACAATGTGGCTTAAAGGCTTGGAAAACCCTGACGTGACACGACAATTGGGAAATGTTTACTTTTGGAAGACGGAAGACCATTCTGGATAAATGTAACAAAAAGTCCCAATATTGGAAAGGGAGTGAAAGGAGACATGTTGGGATGGGCTTCATACCTGGATAATAGAGTTGGGAGACCAAAACACATCGTGCCAAACCAGACTCCTGGACCTAGTTTCATGGAAATGCTGCACGAATTAACACTGCCTAATATATACTGTATAAACGTCAGCCCAGAACCAACTGCAGCAGTATATATCACATGACGGTTGGCTGGTAACCAACTGGCTGGTAACCTGCATTTACTAAGCAAATTTCTCTCATGCTTAGCAAATTCTTCTTACGCTTAGCAGCTCCCCTGTCCATTGGTCAAAACTCACTTGGGGTTCTTGGGCTCCTGCATGGCCGACATGTCTCCAGCCGTGCTGCTCTGACCGTCAAAGTCCGAGCCCGGCGTGGTCGTGCCAGGGGGCGGGGAAGTGACCGTCAGGGAGCCCTTGCGGTTCCGGCCGCCCTTGGCCGAGCGCCGGCGGGAGCTGGTGCTCTCTGCCCCTGAGCGGGTCTTGTCCTTTCCCTTGCCTTTGCCAGTGGGTGTCGTGTGGTCGTCCTGGAAAAACCAAGAAACAGAGATGTATAAGAATTTTTGCATTCCGTTATTGGAGGTTTCTTGTATGTAAGGACTTCAATCTAACGAGATGAGTCAAGAGCTACCCGGGTTACTTCTGAGTTAAAGGGCTTTCACAAAAACCTTGTGCAAAGTAGGATGGAAATCTTCAATATTTTCCAGCCACAAAATGTCCCTTTTCACCAGTATGCCCAACTTCAAACACACCAAAAAAAAAAATTCTGTCAACGCAGCCTGTAGGATTACGCTTTGGGAGCACGCCGCTTTTCTGAAATATCTCTTTCACAAATTGATCCATCTGTGAAAGAGTTTCAACTTGATGAATTTACACGCAAGGCCTTTCTGTCGAAACTGAAACTCTTAGATGGCTTTTTCTAAGTAAGTTTTTTAAACATCCCACCTTTTCTCGGGCCTTGTCTGGAGTAGACGAGTCTGGCTCCTGATCAGCATCCTTATTTTTCTCTTCTGGAATCACATTGCTGTCAGTGTCAAGATTTCAATGAGAGAACGATGAGGAGCAAACGGCTGAAATCACACAGCAATATGACACTCATGGGCGTTGGGTATTACGTTGCTGGTTAAACATTGAAATACAAAGTACTCTGTCAAACTCCACTGAGCGGAGTTGAATTCAAAATATACACGAAGCAAAGGATTTTGCTTTACTATCTAAAAAGTTACAACTTACGGGTCATCTGGAGATGAGGCCACGAAGACGTAGTGACCGGAAGGATCGGCGCCGAGCGGAGCCTTCCGCTTCACAGGGAAGGGCACGACGGAGAATATCGCCGACGGGGGTATGGGAGGACCGTTGGGGCCCAGGCCAAGCCCGTCTAGTACCTCGGCGGCCGTGGGCAGGCGCTTGGTGGCCAGGACATGGTCACCAACCCGGGCGTCTGGCTCGCTGGCGTCCATCAGGAGGTGAGGCACACCCATCTCGTCCTTCTTGCCGCCGTCCTTCTCATCCTCGCCGTCCTTGGGGTCGCTCTGCTCGCCGCTCTCGGCCAAGGCCTGTCGAGGACAGAGGAGATGCTTTGGAATGGTTTTGATGACTATCAACAATGCGAAAAATAGTAACCATGCTTGAAAGGAGAGAAAGAATGAATTAAGCAAGACTGGAAACTTGGCACGGCGATGTTATGAACAAGTGAAGATTTGTAGTAGCACCAGGTGAATATCTCTTGTGGGAAGATGTGTGGCTCCGAAAAAGAAGTGGTGAACTAAAACTTCACATTTCCATCCGCATGCTATGATCATCTTCAGGAAAATGTATATCTTAGGGAAGAAATTAGTTCTTGACTACTGAAAACACTGTAAGTATGTGTCAGTAGAACATTTGAAATGATTAACGTTAACAATTTGAAGTTGCGTTTTTATTATCATACAGGGTGATTTTCTAAAACTGGTACAAAATTCATCCCAAAACTTTCGGTTGAAATATTACCCAATGTAATCATTTATAAGCACCTAGTCAGTTTCTCTTTATAGCTTCTTTCATAATATATGTTCAAAAAGCCGTATCCTCTTTGAGTGATCCCTGTTCACCACTTCCCAGGTTGTATCGTGTTATTGGATTGTGATCCCTGGCTACAAGGTGTTTCAGGTTTAATGGCTTCTGGCTAGTGCCCCCGAACAAAGATATTGACCAATGGGAAGAGCCACCAACGTGGGGCTGGATAGCTCAGTTGGTAGAGCACTGGTACAATGTTCCAGAGGTCGCAGGTTCGAATCCCACTCCAGTCAATTTCTTTGTTCATCTTTATAATCAAAATATTACCCACTTAGGATCACGGTGTGCGACATTTTTTTGATTGATGTAGGTTACTAACATTGTTCGGTACACTGTAGCTACATGCCATGACACCTAATTTCAACTTAGAAGGGTAATTTTTCTGAAGTGATCTCACAAAGACCTCAGGGCTCCAAGAAGTCCACTTCCAGCTGAGCTCACCTTTTCCGCTTTCTCCTTCTCCAGCCGCTCCTTCTCCAGCCGCTCTCGTTCCTTCTCTCGCTCCCTCTCTTTCTCCTTCTCTGCCTTGCTTTTGCCCTTCCGTCCAGAGGGCGGGTGCACGGTTACCTCCTCCGCCTCCATTTCGTCGGCCAGCGGGTCGATGACAACTTGCCCTGTTGCAGAGGACACAAATGCAATTCTGGTCTCAAGCCTGGCTCACATTTGGGCGCAAATCGGTCGATTCCTGAGTGCGAGCTCATTAATATTTTGTGATCCCATGGGTCACTGCCAATATGAGTGGCCAAAATTAGGACGGACTGTAGAACTCAGTCCATATTTCAAACATTTGGGACTTGTCGCTGCTAACCTGGGGTATTTTGTTCACAAAATTCTCCAACCTGTGGGCCTAGTTTGCGTAGAGACGGGCAGCTGCATTCAGGCCCGTGCCCCCAGAGTTTGAGAGTTATTTTGTGGTCATTTGGAAAGGGGAGAATGAACGTTTTTAGGTGGCTACCACTTGCGAAATTGAAAAAAAAATGTCCTGGCAATCCTATTGAATCCTAACTGGATACGGAGGAAAAAACACAATACCCTGAAAACCACCAGAACAAAAATATTTACCAATGGTCCTGTCCCAGCGATCCAGGATCTTTTCAATTTCTTTCAGGCCATGCTCGAAGGCCTTGAAGCGGCAGGTCAGAAGGATCTCGGCTTCCTTCATTGGGTCCTTCTCCGGTTCTGGCTCCGGAACCACCTCATTCGAGATTGGCCGACCTTTGTCCTTCTTACGTTTCCTGTGAGGACACAAGACAATTTCTGTTACGATATCTATCTGAATCATGTCACCCCCAAGAACTTTGCTTTTAATGCTTTCAATGGTACATTTTTAAGCTGAGAAAATATCAGCAGGGAACCTGCCAGACACAACACACATGATGCGGTTTTTGGCTGGTAACCCATTTCTGCTTAGCAAGGTTTTTTTCCCATTTAGCCAATTCTCACTTTCGTTGCTTGGTTTCTGAGCTGTCGAACCCCCCTTGAGGTTTTGTACTCACTTCCCGCCATCATCCTGAGACTCGCTGCCAGCCGTGCCATGTGACTCGGGCCGCTCCATGACCGAGGAGGGCCCTGCCTTCAGGCCGTGCTCTGAGGGCGGAGCCGGCTGGTCATGCCTCCCCTGGGTGTCCCCCGCCGGTTTCTTCATGCCGGCCTGGCTGGCCGTGGGGCCCGTCTTGCCGCCCCCTTCCTGGGACTTCTTTAGCGGGGCTCCCTTGGCGTCCTTCTCCTGGCCCTTGGCTCCTTTCTTCTTGCCTTTCCTGGGTAAAAAAAAAAAACAGGTGCAGAAACTTGTGAGAATCTTCGGCTCAGTAAACGCTAAGCTCACATTTTCACGTCATATATGACTGCATCCCTTATTTATCTCCCACGCAGGAGAACGTTTATGGACTCTCTTGACACATCAAATCCAGTGACATTAAGCATTATTGTACCGAAAAAAAAGGAAGGCTTTCTCATTTAATGTCCTGCTGACACAAATAATTTTTATCCATTACATTTTGACTTACATGGCATTATGTAACTCATTCACTTTATGTTCAGTGCTCATCCCGCTTATCTCTCCATATTTGTTTGCTCTTCATTTTTGGCCAGATGTACTTATGATAATCAGTCAGTCAGTCAGTCAGTTGTCAGTCAGTCTTCAGTCAGTCAGTCAGTTGTTTGTCAGTCAGTCAGTCGTCAGGCAGTCAGTCAGTCAGTCAGTCAGTCGTCAGTCAGTCAGTCAGTCAGTCAGTCGTCAGTCAGTCAGTCAATCAATTTCAGTAATCAATTCTGCAGTCCTATCTCAGTTTATAGACAAATGCAGTGACCATGGTGACGTCGTCTCTGGTCACTTGCGGTGGCCCCCGCCGATGGCGGTATAAAGCACTGTGATAACTATTGCATGGAAGATATGTTCTGTAACAGGCTCCCTGACCAAACCAAGCAAAATGCTTTCCGCCACTAATAAGGACCATCAGAAATGTCTTGTGGAACATTGCTAAATTTGTCTAAAGGGATTTAACTTGAAAAAAAAACCTACTTATCATCTTCGACTTTCTTCTCCTCCAAGAGAGCGGCTAGTTCCCGCTCCTTTCGTTCCCTCTCAAGTCGCTCCTCCATCTCCCTGTCAAAGAAAATTTCAAAAGCAAAGTATAATTCAGATTTCCATTCAAAGCTCAGATATATACAAACCTAGCAATTAATTAACCCTAACACTCCTCAATCCTTCACCTGTTGGAGGACTGAGGACTGTTAGGGTTAATGCAATTGTGTTCACCCTTGAGATTTTGGGTACCTATCAAAGTGTCAGTGCGGGAGGTTTTTGGGGAGAGGGCTTACTTTTTGAGGAGCCGTTCCTTCTTGGCCTTGAGACGCTTGCGGTCCACTTCGGCTTTCTCCTCCTCAGTCAGGTTGTCGTATTCATCTTCCGACATCTCCTCCAGTCGTAGCTTCTCTTCCTCTTCACGTTCTTTCTCCAGACGCTCTGTAAAAATGTAACGGCGGTCAGGTTACAGCCTCAAACTTTTGTACAAGGGCACAACCTGGTTCATTTGAAATGACTTGTGGCTGGACTAGTGACTGGATGACTTGTGTTGGGCTTGCTATCCCCCTCGAGCAGAAGCGCTCCCTCGTCGGTTGAAAAGAGCCATGTTGGTCACGAGTGCTCATTTTTTTTGGGTAGCGATGCGAAAGTAACACGTGCATTTCCTAGTTGTTTGTTACACCAGGTGCAACTCCTAAGGGGCCTGCATTGCTGAGAAAATTGCGCCCTCTCTTGGTCCAGCTCAGGCTCAAGACTTTAAGGAACTCGTGATGGACATGACTACAGCAGTAACTCTTACAGATGCCTTACATACAAATTCACAAATTCCACTGTTATGAGCTGAGCCTTTCCAATAAAATACTTCCGATTGAGGGCGAGTTTTCAGCTTAACACCCACCTTTCTCTTCCTGCAACCGTTTCTCCCTGGCCTGGAAGACCGACTGCTCCAGCTTCAAGGTGACAAAGTAGATGTATTTCCGATTGTTAAAGGCCTTCAGGAGGGCATTGGCAGTGGCGGTGTGATTGGGACTGAACATAGTCTCCAGGCCGTCAAAGACGATGCCGCGGTGGCAGTCGTTGAGCTGAAGGGTAGCAAAAACGGGAAAATTTCAATACTGGTTGAAGAGTTCATTTCAAAATAAATATCTACGAATGCGTTGTAGATCGAAATTTGCTGACACGAGAACAATGCCATCAGATGTTCCCAGTAGGAACAAAGTTCCGCAGCAACAAAGTTGTCTTAGTTTTTACTTGCATACATACGTCCGCATCCCACAAATCGAGTCTCCAAGCCATTCTCTTTTACTTATTTTGTTTCAGTTTGAATTAGAAAAAGCAAACTGAGCTCTTGGCTTTGATGCATCTCTCAGTTTGGCACACTGGTGAAAATGGGCATTATCTGGATGAAAAAAAAAAACCAGGGTAAGAATTCAGATCCCCCTCGAGCAGAAGCACCCCCTCGTCGGTTGAAAAGATCCATATTGGTAGGGAGAGTTCATTTTGTTGGTAGTGATGCATTGCCTAGTCTGTTTGTGGACCAGCCAAGTTCATTTCCGACCAAAGGAGCCTCCACTGCTGTGAAAATTGAGCCCTCTCTCAGTCAAGTTTAACTCAAAGGGACCATATGCTGCCGGGTTTAATTTGAAGTTGCATGATGTATACCCGGGGGATTTTCAAGATTTTTCCGTTTTCAAAATTCTTTAAAAATTCAGAACTTCATTTACTGGACGCTCACACCCACACGAATGGTGGCTACTCTAATCTGACAGACAACATCTATTAATGCCCGAGTATTTCAGCTAAGCCTGCCGCCTTGTAAAGAGGGGCCAGATTGTGCGGTGTTATGTTATTTTCTTTTATTCCTGAAACTGGCCCAGTGTGCTGATGGCATCTTTTCAATACAGCCAGATTAACGTACAGCGGTATTGTATCGTTCATCACTGGAGCGATTTTGTCCCTGGTGGAAATCCGCTCACGCTGAAAGCCACAAACAGTGGTATAATCATTCAAAACAATGCTATTGACAACTGAAAAAAGTTGGAAATTCCCAGCAGCTCGGTCTTTTGTTCAGAGTACAGTCTTTTGTTACAAGGCCCAGTTCCCTTTGTCCGATTTCGGGCACCCCAGCTATGCGTATAAAGCCAACATCTCTGAAACCGGGCTCCCTGGCAGCAAGTGGTTAAGGCAAGGTGTTAGCTCAGAAATAAAAGCTAATGGTGAGGAAAAGGTCTGAACATTTTGAATAGTGTGCTCTGTTGGCCTTCAGGAAATTGTCTTACCTGCAGCCTATCGGCTAGCATCTCCACCAGCAGGTCCTCGGGGAGCAGGCAGCTCATCAGCCCTTCCTCTCCGGCCACGCTGGCGCTGACACTCAGCCGCCGGGAGATGGGGGCGGCCGGCGGGGGGCTGCCTGACAGCTGGGTGGCATTGTCTTCCTGCTTCCTGTCCTTCTTGTCCTTCCTGTCGGGCTTGTCCGCAGCCGGGCCCGCCTCGCCGCCCGTGGGCTTGTGGCCCGAGATGGTGCTGGTCTTGCGGTTGCTGATGACTGAGTGGGCACCACCGCCGGCCATGCTGACCGACCCTAGAGAGATGTCGGTTCCGAAGGAGAGAAGGAGTATAAGGTCCACGAATTGAAACGTTTATTACCTCTCCATAAACAGTTTACAGCTGCTCTAGTTTAGTCAACAACTCTACTCAGCGTCTCCTGCACCGGGAATCAAACCCAGGACACCGTGGTTAGAGGCAAGTGCATTACCCATCACACCAGCACGTTATGTACAGCCCCTTCTTGATATGAGGAGCACTCTTACTTATAAATACTGTCATAAAGATCAAAAGGCCCAGGGCTCTGTGTAATAAAGATCAAATTCGGAAGGCCCGGGGCTCTCTGTCATAAAGATCAAATTCGGAAGGCCCAGGGCTCTCGCGTTCTTTAAAACAAGGTTCTGGTCATAATCTTTTTTTTTGGTGCTCATTGTAAATGTCATGGAGGGTCGGTAGTTTTTGTAGTCTACCAATAAATTAATGTAATTTTCCCCATTTTTATGCCTTTTTTGTAACTGTACCATTAAATGAAATAATATTGGGATTAATGTAATAACATATTTGATGCACTTTAAAGTAATGTTGTAATATCATTATACTGATGTATTTTTTTAAATTTGTATTTTGTAGATTCAAATGTAATTCGGCCTTTGGGCCGCAAAGTTTAAATGTTTTAAAATAAACAATAACAACACTAATGATAATCTAACTAGTCCCTGCACCCTGGTTATCACAAGGAGTCAACTGTGCATCAGGATTACAGTTTTTCTTACCTGAGCCAGCACCGAGTCCCTGGGAATGGGCAGTCACGGCCTCCACGCTGAGTCCCCCAGCCCCGCCGGCGCCCCCGGCCCCTCCGGCCGTCTCAACACCGTCCCCTTCTTTGGCCAGCTGGGCCCTGGCCGCCTGGGCGCACAGCTCCCGGGCCCGCAGGCCGGCCGGGGTGTTGCCGTTGGAGATGGCTTCCAGAACCACACCGTCCACGGTCAGAAGGGCGGCCTCGTAGTACTTTGCCAGGGTGATGACGGTCGACGTCTTCCCTGTTGGCCCAATCAATTATTACTTGATTCTTAAAAACGGGCACAGATTTTGTAACTGCTGTGACCAATTCTTCACATTAAAGACCATTTCAAAAACACTTGTGAAAAAAAGTAAGGCTGGCACATGCTTTAAGACATTTTTTTAGAAGAAAACTGTGAAAGTAATGGGAAATTCAAAACGAAGCTCTCACAAACTCTGGCGCACTGATGACGATAATCCAAGACACTAATGTGCTTTATGCATTAATGTAAGAGTAAACTTTTCCAAAAGACTGAATAAGACCATTCGTTCAAAGTGCATTTCAGTTTTAAAAAAGTAGAAATTCAAAATATCCTCTTGATGTTACACATTTTATGAGCAATGTATGCTTTTAAAGACATCTCTGCTCAGTGTTGGGTTAAACATACCTGACATGGGGGCGCCATGGACCACGATGGCTACTCCCCGGCGCCTCATGGCCGCCTTGCCCTCGGGCGACAGGTCGATGCCCAGGTGCCTGGCGATGGCCGCCGAGATGGGGGTGATCTCCAGGAGCTCTCCCACTCCGACGCTGCTGGCTGCGTCCTTCTTGTCTGCGGGAACAGCGAAGTCAAAATGAAAAGGATCGATGACACATCCATCAGTGGGTTTGTGACCAATGAAACACTGTGACTTTTAGGGACTTTTAATAGCTAACGCATGCATTTTCTCCGCAGTGGTGATAATGTGAATCTTGCACTTGGACTTTTGGGTTTAAAGTACAAAATAAATAACAGCACATGAATGATAGCATTTTAAAACTTGTAATCTTTGTCAAAACCCTGAAATCCAGAAAAAAAATTGAGAAATTACGCCTCCACAGAATACAAGCTCCCGCAGTTATTTTGAGGACATCTCTGAAAATATGCACACAATTTTTGAAGATGAACAAAAGGAATCCGAGTTTATCTTCTTTTGTCTTCGTAGTTCAATATTCGGTTCCCTCAGGTCCAAGCTTCAAGCATCTGACGCTAGTTTTTAGTAAGAAACATAGTGGGGAAGGTTGAAGACTTTTGACCCACAAACCTTGGGGTCCGTCCTGGTCCTTAGGCAGTGGCAGCCTATCGGTCTCGTCCCCACCCTCGGGGGCTTGTTTGTCACCCTTCCTGTCCCCCTCTTGGCTGGCGGTGGGGGAGGCGGCTTGCCCCTTGGTGGCGGGGACGGGGAGGGAGCTCCCCTGGTTGCCTGGCTCATCCTCGGTGGCTCCGCCCACCCCCTCCTCACCCGCGGCTGCTTCGTCACCTGAACACAAGAAAACTCCCCGAATTAGAGATGCCCTTCAGATGACTCTTATGAAATCATGCATAGATGTGGTTTCCAGTTACCAACAAACCTTCAGTTTCAAGTGTTCAGTCCTCCGTGGTGAGATCTTTTGTCCTAATGCAGCCAAAATTTTGGTTGAAGAAACATCAGACTGTCTAGTAAGAGCCCAGAGTTTGGATTAATTCTCCTTCGGTTCCACGGTAAATCCTTGGCAATTAATACGGAAGACCACGAGGAACTGAAACGTCACCCAAAGATGGCATTTGACCGACGGCATTCCTACCTTGGGTGGCGTCCTGTGCCGCTGCAGCGGCAGCCTCGGCTTTGGCCTTCTCCTCTTCCTCCACCGCTTTCCTCAACTCCTCATAGTGCTCCAGCAGCTCTGGGGGCAGCTTGTCCCCCGGGACACGGGGCGGGAGGAGAATGGTGCCGTGTTCGTCATAGTCCTTGACGGTACGCAACATCTAGGCAAAAAGACACAAAAAACAAAGACTCTGTGTACACAATATCACATCCTGAGCCTTCTATTCAGGGTATTTATGATCACCAGTCGGACGTTCTCAAAGCACTGCAGTCCACATACAAACAACACTGAACGCTCAACAGCATATTAACGCAGCTACTGTTGGAAATTTGGAAACAGAAGTGAACGTAATATTACGAAAAAAGATTTCTTTCCATCTGCTTATATTCACAACCGTAGATAGAGAGACAGTAAATCTGGTTATATTTTCTAAGAATTGGCAAGCGAAGAGTTCCAAAACCCTATCTGCACTGATCGTACCTTCTCTTCATCCAGGTACTGGTCGTCAAACTCCAGAGAGTAGAACTCGATGGGGAAGGAGCACGGGTTCTTGACGACAACGTCCACCTCGTCGCCCACGCTGTGGGGCAGGATGGGGTCAAACTCCAGCAGGGTCTGGCTGAAATCCATGCGGGGCTCCAGGCCGGTGCCGTGGGCCAGCAGGGTCAGGCGCTGGCTGCTCTGACTCAGGCGGACTACGATGCGATCAGCGTAGACTTTCTGTACGATGGGTGGAGGGGGGGAGGGAGACGGGGATCGTGATCAGACACAAGTGGGAACGTCAAATTGGCATAAAATGGCATAAAGGGAACATCTCTACTAGATAAATGAGGAGGTGTCCTCTGGACTGTTGCAGAGAGGTGTACCTCTTCGGTGGGCATGAACTTGACCTGCACGTTGACCCTCTGGCCGGGCAGCAGCATGCCCAAGGGGGGCATCATCTCGAAGTTGCGGGGGCGTGCCTTCTCTGGGCGGAGCTTTCGCCGCAGGTGCATCGGCATGTGCTTGTCAATCTAAGAGGAACAACAGCACAATTCCTGCGATATCAGATTAAAGATTGCTCCGTGTTTTGGCTGCAAGTGTTAGGAGCACACACACAGGTGAGTATTGCAAAAGTTGGGGGAAATCAGTTTTTGTTCACATGAATTGAACCTCAAGTTTATCACAACAATCCATATCATATCATATCCTTGATACCTCCCTCCCTCCCTGCAAAAAAAGTTATCAAGCACATGGGCATACCATCTGTTAGTAACAAAATAAATTTAGTACAAACAAAAACTCGAGCGCCAAACATCACTCCATAAATGCTACCTTGAGGATCCTCATCATTTCCTGCAGACAGTCCAGCAGAAAAAAAATAATAAAATGCCGAGATTTTCAATTGAATGGGCACAAAAAGTTGCACCTTTGCCTAAGAGTGGCAATAGACATGGTCATGAATTGTCATCAGTAATGATAGCTTTCACTCAATAATGGTAATAGTTTTAATCCTGAGGAAAGATTTAATGTTGTAGTCCATGAATGAGAGTCTTTAAAAGAGAAGAAGAAATGATGAAGTTGATGGAGAAACAAGGAGCTACGTCAGCCAGTAACTCACAAGTTTCCTCTCTTTGTCGGTGGGCAGGGACGTCCACTCGCACTTGACGTGCTGGTTGTTGTGCAGCTGGACCGTGATGACCTTGCACTGACCACACTGGACGGGGCCAAAGTCCAGCGCATCAGTGGAGATCAGCATGTCGGGCATGGTCACGCTGGCGCGCAGTCGCAGGAATACGCAGGGACCGTTCACAACCTGAGGAAAAAACGAAAGACAAAGAGAACCTTTTACAAAGCCTATCACACTTCAATTACCTTTCTTTGAAACGTTTTTTTCGACAATTTAGTCTGAAGACGATTTATTTCAGTTTAAGCCCGAGAATCTAAGCAGTTTACACAAACAAGATCGTTATTTAGCCGCATGCAGCAAACTGAATAATTACTAACAACTGCACATTATTTGGTTAATTTCCCCACAAAAATGAGGAATTAGTTTTAAGTTCACAGCCTGTGAACATTTTCTACAAATGCCACTTCCTTCCAAATAATCCCACATGAGTCTACAGTTACCTATGGCATCTTTTAGTTCAAATTAAAACCATTACTGAAAGGACTATATCCACAATCCTTAAATGTGACCTGTCACCACAAAATGAGCCAAAAGTCGGAATCTTCAAAAATTGAGATATGGATATTTTTTAATTCAGCAGAAAGAGAGCTTTCCAATGGAACGTACATGAAAAACTTGGGGTAAAAGTACAAGGTGACAATGTGACATTATTCTGGCAGCTTTGTTCCTGACCAGGTACGAATAATGCTACAGTCAAAATTGGCGAGAAAATGACATTCTTAAATATGTGATCCTGCAAAATAAAATAGGATTTGAAATAAAATTGCAATCAAATATGATATGGGATACTCTTTACAAATATTAAAAAACCCAAAATTTGACCTCGACTTTAATATGACTTTGACTTTGAGCGGAATGTTGTGACAGGTCAGAAATGATGAGCAAACTTGTTTCGGCCAAGAAACAAG